AGATACTGGGTTTTGCACATGCATCCTACTTGGCTTTTTAAATAATTATAAATGTAAATGTTTATCGCCATATTTTGAGAAGCTGGATAGTCAGAGGGAATGTACAGAAGGGTGCTGTCTGGATTCAGTGTTCTTTGTCTTTTTGGTTCATCAAACTCCCTGGAAGTGCCTTTCAATAGCAAGAGTGTTGCTGTGAGATGTTCAATTCAAGCTTTGTAGCAGTTACATTTTTAATGGAATATGTGGTTTATTAATGAAGAAAAGCAGCTTTTCACATATTTTCTCTCTGGTAGTAATATGAAGGGATCCCAGGGCTTCTAGGTCTCCTCATAGTTATTAAAATAGAATTTCTGCAGTCATTGTAGTTCTTCATCTTTCTGTTCAAACTTTATTCAAGATTAGAGATTGCAGAAATGCACCCTTTTGCTCTAGATGCTGTCATTTTGCATAAAGCAGAATAAACTTTCCTAAATCCCTGAGATCCCATGTCCATCCCTATATTGCTCTGCATTTAAAGAAAAGTGGCATTTCTCAGTTTCCTGCCCAAGGAAATTTGACCTCTTCAAATGCTTCTCACTGTTCTCACTGAGGACAGGGCCTGCAAAGAAGTGGGTGCATTTCTTGGTGTCCTACTGCTCCAGTGTCCCTGGCTTTTGTGACAGGGCCATGCGCAGCCTTTATCATCATTTTCTACCCTTGCTGATGGACATTGCTTTCCACCTGAGTGTGAGCTGCTTTGGGACCTGTGACCCTGAAGCCTAACAGAGATAGTTTAGGGGACAGGGTGGCAGGAGCCTGTGGGGGAGCTCCCCTCCTCATGGAGGATCAGGAAGCAGAGAACAGAGGAACAAGGGGTCAGTCCAATATTCTGTGTCCTCTCCTTAATGCCCTATGTCTGCTACTCAAGCTGCACAAGTCCCATACTAAGCATTCAGAACACAAGTCAGCGGGTGGCATTCTGCATCTGAACCAGCCCAAGACCTATCGCATCAGACCCCAGGCTCTTTCTCAGGTTCTGTGTCACCTCTGAACAGTCAGAGAACACAGTTAAGGACTTATTTTATATCACTTTCATCCCCTCTTAAAGTTATTGCCAGTTAGTTGATAAAAATGTTGAATTAAACCTGGGATATTTCAGACTGCAAGGGCCACATAATCTCTGTCATGACTCCTCATTGCTGCCTTTGTGGCATGAAAAGTAGCCATTTGCAGCTTGCAGATGTGTGTGTGTGTGTGTGTGTGTGTGTGTGTGTGTGTGTGTGTGTGTGTGTGTACACATAGTGCTGTGGGATGGTCTGTATGTCACATGTGTTGCTGATTGGTCAATAAATAAATCACTGATTGGCCCGTGGCCAGGCAGGAAGTATAGGCGGGACTAACAGAGAGGAGAATTGAGAGAACAGGAAGCTGGGTGGAGGAGACACTGCCAGCCACCACCATGACAAGCTGCATGTGAAGATCCTGGTAAGCCACGAGCCATGTGGCAAGGTATAGATTAATGGAAATGGATTAATTTAAGCTGTAAGAACAGTTAGCAAGAAGCCTGCCACGGCCATACAGTTTGTAACCAATATAAGTCTCTGTGTTTACTTGGTTGGGTCTGAGTGGCTGTGGGACTGGCAGGTGAGAGAGATTTGCCCTGACCATGGGCCAGGCAGGAAAACTCTACCTACACATGTTTCAATAAAACTTTATTTACACAAACATCTGTGGGCCAGATTTTGTGGACAGATGACAGTTTTCAATTTCTTCTTAAAAATCTTCTAAACAATCTGTTTCAGTAGTTCAGTAATGGCACACTATTGGCATTTTTGTGTAATTAATTGTGCTGCTATTAATATGTGCTATTTTGTTGTATGTCTTATCACCATCTGAACTATGTATGCCATGCCTACCCATCTGTCTCTTCTCCCTCTGTTTTGTTAACTTGTTTTTAGACATCATTTATGTTTCATCCAAAGCTTTAAGTGACTCGAACATCCAACATACACACATTAATGTTCATATTTATTTGTTTGTAATTGTGTTAATAATAGTTGAGAATGTGAAAAATCCTTTCAATCTGACCAAAATGTCTTCATTATTTTATATAGTTATCTTTAATAGCTGTATTTCTTTCCTGAGGCTACTGTAACAAACTACTCCATATTTGGTGTAACAAATTACCCCATATTTGATTGCAATAACACTCAGTTCTCTCAGGTTTGGATGTTGCCTGCTGGTTCCTTCAGGAGACAGTTCTGAGTTCCTGACATTGCCCACCCCCGCTCCTGGCTTCAAATGTTTGGAGGCCGTCCTTGGCATTCCTTGATCTTCTTGTTTGGTCACATGGAGTTCTCTGTGTGTGGTTTGTGTCTTCACATGGCCTTCCTACATAGACAACAGTCACTGGATCCATATTAATCCAGCATGACCTCATTGTAATTTAATTAATTGCATCTGCAAAAATCCTATTTACAAATAGCATGGTGTTTGAAGTCCTGGGTGGACCTCAACGTGTTGTGTGTGGTGGGGAACTACTAGACTCCATGGCCATGTCCCTGGTGAAGGAGGAGGGAACCCTGTGCATTTTGATGCAAGCCTTGGTAGGTCCCGGGAGCTTCCCTCTCCCTGGGGAGCCTCCTGGCTCCTTTGCATTTGATCTGGTTCACGGAGTGAAGTTCCCGGTGCTTACTAAGCATTCCTGTTTGTCTTTGCTTGTGTGTCTACTCCTCCTCCTGCCAACTGTTGTTAGACACTGTCCTGCTCTGGCTCCATAGCCAACTGGTGTCAGCTAGGGGTGGAGGAGGGTGATTATTCAGTGGTAATTTCTCACTTGCTGCTAAAATATTGAGTCCTGTTTCCTTCCCCTTTGACCTTCTTCTGGCCTTTTACATATTTGTATAAAGAGTCAGGGCTTATATTGCATTTGTTTTGATTTCTGAGCTTTTGTAAGTAATTTTTTCCACAGTATGGAAAGGTTGTAATTTTAGCTACAACTTGAAAATGCTATGAAAGTTTTTTAGTTTAAATTTTTTTCTTTTGGTTTTTAGAGATAGGGTTTCTATGTGTAGCTCTGGCTGTCCTAGAACCCACTGTGTAGACCAGGCTGGCCACAAACTCAGAGATCCACCTCCCTCTGCCTCCTGAGTGCTGGGATTAAAGGCGTGTGCAGCCACCAGGCTGCCCTTGAAGAAACCAAACCCACCCTCTCTAAGAAGCTTGTATCTCTCCTGGGACTGTGACAAGGCTGGAGTCGTGGTACACACATTATAACATTAAAATGAAACTGTGGGCAACTGCTCTGCTCACCTTTGCTGGACTCACCTTGACCTCTGGGGACAAGTGGCTACCTCAGTGCTCCCTGCTCTCAGCTTCATTCTCAGCCTCATTAATCCCTGGATTGAAGTCATTCATTTCTGTTATATAAATAAAGAATGGATTTCTTGAGGTGGTATTAAACATTCTGATTAGCTATGCAAATTAAATCACTTTAATCACTCACTAATTGCTTTATCAAATTTGACAAAATACAAAAACTCCAAGAGTATACTTGTATAGTCCTTGGGAAAGAAAAAAAATCCCATTTCAATAATAAGCAATGGGAGCCACATATTTCCAAGTGTATAAAATCTAGGCAGACTCAATTTCAATTGAAAAGCAATTTTGTCAAGAGTGGACAGGAATTCTACATTTGGAATGCCCAGGGGTGACATGGAAACATACAGTGTGGCCTTTGTTCAGAAACACATTCGATATGTACCAGTGTCCATTAAATATCATCAGTGTGGTGCTTACACTGAACTTGAAGGTTTGGTTGAATATTCAAACTCTTTTTTTTTTTCTTTTTGTCTGAAGGTGAGAATCAGAAACCCTGGGGAGGGGGGAGCTGTCTTTCTGGGCCCTCTTTTCTGGAGCTTTCCTTCTTTTCTGTACAGTCCACATAGCCTGAGTGCTCCCGAGGTGTGTGGTCCTTCACTACATTAGCCTGCTCTCATCCAGGTTGTCAGCATCCTTTTCTGAGTAATCTGTGGGTGTGTATGTTACATGAGGCTGCAGAGATGACAGGGAAGAAGTGAGTTCTGTTCAAGAGTTTTTGCAGTGTAGGTGAGGTCACTTGCATGAGAGGCTGCCTAGGGCCCTTCTGGGGCATAACTAGTCTGTTCTTCAGGAAACAGGTGGCATCTCACCAATGCCTGAACCCACAGAGACAGTGAGGAGCCTGAGGACACAAATGAGAGACAGCAGTACTTCATTATCAAATCTGATGTGTGACCTGTGTGGTCACCGGGCAATGCTGTCATCTCTGGTGAATGCTTCCAGAAGGTGCACAAGTCACCTCCATGGAGATGGGACCGCCTCCTGGGCAGCCTCAGCACTGCACAGAGGTGAAAGGGGCTCATGGCATGAAGGAAAGGAAGGGCTTTTGCTGGGGAGGACTCTGGCTGTGAGAAGGACAGTGGATAGGAAAGGAAGTCTCCCTAGTACTTTATAGGCATAGAAGAAAGAGCTAGAATCAATGGGTGGTAATGGTGGTGGTGGCGGTGGTGGTGGTGGTGTGTGTGGGCACTTAATAATTCAGAGCCTTAAGGAAATGCAGTGGCTGGCTTTGGATCCTCTGATTGATTTGATAACCCACTTAGCAGGAATAGGTGAATGATCCTGAATGATTAATCTCTGAAGTTGTTTCAAATTCATCTCTTTTTGTCTGTTTGTTGAACACTTTTTTTTTTTTAAGTCTAGAATCAGTATTGTGGGGAGAAGATACTTGCGTATTTTAAACCAAACACAATTTCAACATTTTGTAGAACTTCGGGATATGCAGAAAAGCAACTGTTAGCTTGGGAATTTCTGTTCAGTCTACTCACATTTCTTTGCTGTTTCCTCCTTATGATAGTGTGGTTCCGTCGTCTGAGCACTGATGATGTGTCATTAATGAACTATCCTTAACGGTGATCATTAACGAAGTCAAGCGTTCATTCAGCTTTCTCAGGTTTCCCCTCACACTCTTCTCTGTCCAGGACCCCATCCAGGACATCACGGGGCTTGTACTCACTATGTCTTCAGACTCTTCAACTCGTTGACCATTTCTCGACTTCGATTTTGGTGACCCTGATGGCTTTGAGGAGCTTGGATCAGAAAACTTGCACATGTTTCACAGTTGGGTTTGTATGAATTTTTCATTTTGACTAGACTATAGTTATGGTTTTAATGAACTAACCTGCATTTATTATTATTTTTTTTTGTATGTGTGTGTCCATGTGTGGGCATGTCTGACATGGTGTGTACACACGTGGAGGTGAGCAGACAATTTGTGGAAATCAGTTCTCTCCTTCCACACAGGGGTTCCGGGGATGGAGCTTAGGTCACCTAGGCTAGGGAGATGGGTCAGCTGGTAACTTGGTTACCATAAAAGGATGAGCCCCTGAGGATGGTCTCCTGCAAGTAAGAGCTGGGCGTCGTGATGTGTGACTATAATCCCAGAACTAGAGGAAGGGGAGGAACAGGAGAACTCCTAGAGATTGTTAGCCAGTCATTCTGGGTTTAGGGAGAGACCCCATCTTTATAAGATTAGCTTGATACCCACCATTGATCTAGGGCCTCCATGTGCATACACACACACACACACACACACACACACACACACACACACACACACACAAAATCATCCTCATGGTCACACCAGGTCATGGGCTCACGTCGTCAGTATGACTTCTTTGGTGTTGCTGGGCAGCTTCCAGCCCCTCTCTCCTCTCAGCCGCCACTTCTTGCCTGACCTTTCCAAAGTCCTTCTGAGTCTAACCTCCTTCACAACTTGTGTCAGTACCCTCCTCTTCAAAAGTCCCGTCTCGGCTACTTCCTCCCTTCTCTACCCCACCACCCCTTCCTGATGCTTCTTGGCCTCTTGTGTAATTTATCTCTTTGGGATTTGTGTCCTCTAGAGTCTGGCCTAGGAGGATATACACTATTCTGGAATGAGCAGGTGCTTGAAAGATATTGAACAGCTGAGAGCTGTGTGAGAGGGGAGGCCACAGCTTCACAACATGGCTATCTATCTATCTATCTATCTATCTATCTATCTATCTATCTATCTATCTGTCTGTCTGTCTGTCTGTCTGTCTGTCTATCTATCTATCTATCTATCTATCTATCTATCTATCTGTCTGTCTGTCTGTCTGTCTGTCTGTCTATCTATCTATCTATCTATCTATCTATCTATCTATCTATCTATCTATCTAGGTGCATATGGGTAGACTCATTCTGGGCTCCCATTAAGAGTCACAGTATGAACTGGTATTACTTGGAACTTTGAACCATCTTTCCTCATGGACTCATGTGTCAAGAGTTGTGGGGTTTGGAGATATCTTGCTCCCTCTAGCACTTTTCTTCTTGAAGGTCTGAGTGTCGGTTATGACAACTGTCCTGATAATATCGGCAGAGGCGCATGATCTACAAGTATTAGCAAGCACTTTATTAGGGAAAATGCATCAGAGTGAACCAAAGGAGGGGGAAGCTGGGCATGAAATAGGATGAATGGCGGACAGGATGATGGACAGCCCTGAAAAAGCAGTCTGTGCTGGTCTGAACTTGGTCTTTTCAGTCTTGGCCTGTGCTGGCAAGCCCTTAATTGTGTGGGTTTTGTAATAGTTTACTGTGCTGGGTTGTTAGTTCTTGGCTTCAATACATGATGCTGATTGGAAACATATCTGAGGAATTTTCCCTTCCACTTAAGACACAGAGTGCCCAGTGGCGAGCCTATAAAAGACTCCCTTCAGCATTAATTACGTGGTTTGAGAAAAATAAATGGGTAAATTAGAGAATTAGCACTGGATGAAAACACAGCTGAAACGGACAAGGCAGCTGGCTAAGGCTGGTTTCAGGTTGGGTGAAATGCTGCTGGTGTTCTGGGTCTAGAGTTGGATGGCGAAGCATGTATGTCTCTCTTCCTCTTTAACACCATGGGAGAGAGCAGTATCGAATTTACACACTCACATATGTTCATTTATTCTGGCCACTCCATTAGCAGCATGCTCTGCACAATATTTTGCAAAGACTTTAGCATTGTATTTGGATTTTAGTTGAAAGTGTTGTTGTTTGGTTTTGCTCTTAACTCTTTTGAGGGGCCCACCACCCAGCTCCCAAGTAAATCACTCATGGAGGCTCATTCTTAATTATGAATGCCCAGCCTTAGCTTGGCTTATTTCTTTAACTTTAAACTAGCCCCATCTATCTTTTGCCACTGGGCTTTTTCTGTTCTCTTACTTCTGTAAATCTTACTCTTACTCCGTGGCCTCCTTCTCTGACTACTACTCTTACCTCGCAGATTTTTCCTTCTATATATCCTCTCTGCCTGCCAGCCCTACCTCTCCTTTCTCCTGCCTTGCTATTGGCCATTCAGCTCTTTACTAAACCATCAGGTGTTTTAGACAGGCACAGTAACACAGCTTCATGGAGTTGAAAAATGCAACATAAACAAAACTAACACACCTTAAAATAATATTCTACAACAAAGTGGGATACTTGCTTTAGGAAGGTCATAACTAGAACATGACTTCACATGATGTTAACTCTCCATCTGCCAGTCAGTATGCAGCAATGAAATGGTGGCCAGTGATGACATGCTTTATAGAGAATGGAAGACAAGCCAACCAGGCATGCAAGAAAGAGTCAAAAACTCACCTAGTATGCTAGGGAGAGTAGAGCTCAACATTTTATTTATGACTTTATAATATGCCAGAGTTACTCATTTACCCATGATAGTGGTAAATTCAAGCTGCAGATGACCCCAAATGAGCCTCTACCTATGAAACCTTAGAAGTATTTTCTGCTCTTTTAAGAAATGAAAAAAAAAGTAGGTAAAAGATAAACATGTCACTTTGATTATGAAGCTATCATTGAGACTCACACGTTAAATAACCCATTCCTCCTTTCTGCTGTGACTCAGCATCTTGCCTGTTTTGAAATCAAGTGGCTGTTTTCTTCTTCTGTCCCCTGTACACACTAAGCAGTGCACACATTTGTCTGAACAGAGAGCAACATTAATCTGAAAGCAAAGCGGAAGCTGATGAATAGGTAAGTGGGGCAGGAGGAAGGGCATCCAGAGGGGCACACAGCAGAAGTAGCTGAGGAGGCAGGATTTGGTGGCGATCCCTGGACCGAATTTGGCTTCAACAGATGGCTCTGATTCATTTTTTCTGCAAAGAATGTCCACCTTTATTTTCATTTTTACATTTAATTTAATTTGAATTTAATTTAGAGGATGGGTTAGTAAGCCTAGTAGCTGAGATCCTGGAAGCCATTCATCTTCCCTAAATGTCAATTATTTATCTTAGAAATTTATTGTCTTTAAAACTGATGATGTGCTATCCTCCTGACATTCAATAGTTAATTCACCTCCAAAAGGAAATGCCTTTCAGCGAACAATTTAACTGACTCAAAAAGGGTTCACGTAGCAGGCTTTCTTGGACCACTAGTCCCAAAATCATGACACAGAGACTTATTAGTTATAAATGCTCTGCCTTAGTTTAGACTTGTCCCACTAGCTCTTATAACTTATTTTAACCTGTTTCTCTTCATCTACATTTGCCTTGGGGCTTTTTACTTTTCTGGATGTCCTACTTTCTGGCTTCCTCTGTGTCTGTCTGTCTGGCAGCTGCCTTGTTGACTGGCCCCTGGCATCTCCTCTCTTTCTTCCTAATTCTCTCTTCTCTCAATCCTAGATTCCTCCTCCTACTTATTCTCTTTGCCAACCAGCCCCACCTATCCCTTGTCTGCCTAGCTATTGGCCATTTAGCTTTTTATCAGGTCAATCAGATGCCTTAGGCAAGCAAGGTGAAACAGCAACACATCTTTACATAGTTAAACAGTTATTCTTCAACATAAACAAATGCAATTCATCTTTACATAGTTAAACATATATTCTATTCTACAACAGGTTCCATTTTATCTTCTGGCTACATGAAAATGTAGCTTGGGGTTCACTCATAATCCAGCTATAAAAACATGTATTTTAACAATTCCACAGCAGTTTTTTGAACTGTCTATGATGGTGCCTGGGTAACAGATCTATGTGATTATCTTCTGCATATCAGGCTCTTCCTTGGGGAGGATTTGTCCCAAAATGAGTGTTTTGCAAGGGACTAACTTTGCCCTTTGTAAATGGTAAGGCATTTCTGAGTTTTGTCTGGTTTCCATAGTTACTACTTAATTATTTTTGGAAGAGGCAGCAAATGTTTTCCTTGTGATTATCCAAAACTTTGCTTCTTTCAGCCTTTCCTACCAGTTGATACCAAAGCCGTGAGCAGGAAGAGTAAGACCCTTTAGCTCAGTTTGCTGCTGCTTTTATTTTCTAAATCTGGAAATTGAGTTGCTTTGGTTACAGGAAACCAGTTTGGAAGGAATCAGCTCATGGCTAAGCTGCAGTCTTCTCTCTCTCTCTCTCTCTCAATGTGTGTGTGTGTGTGTGTGTGTGTGTGTGTGTGTGTGTGTGTGTGTGTGCATGTAAAAATCAGAAATCAACGTCAGGTATCTTCTTCCATAATTCTCCAACTTAGTTTTTGAGACAGTCCTCATGCTTGGGCAATACAACAAACACTTTATTCACCGAGTCGTCTCTCCAGCCCTCCCCTTAGATTATTTGGTGACATTTTTTGCACAAAGAGTTGGGGAAAGAGTCACTCACTGTAGCCTTTCTAGGTGTAGTGATCTTTTCACATATTAATTAAATTAAAAATGTTTTGGATAGTCAAGGAGGTACAAGTCATTCTTAGCTTCATTAATTATGGCACTTAATTGCCAGTGTTTTTGAGAAAGGGACTATGGAGACAAGTACTTTTAGTCTTGTTTTTCCTCTCCATATTTATCCCCCAGGGTCTCCCACTGTGAGGTCCAGAGGCTCTGGTAATGCTATGTGTAGCATGAATTGTAACAGGTCTTATTAATAAAAACAAACCTAGGAGTCAGGTATTGGGGTCAACGCTGGAAGATCAGAGAAGCAGAACAAGCCACAGCTACCTCATCTTGCCAATTCCCCAGCTGATCCTGTTTCCTCAGACTGGATGCCTCTCAGCTAAACTGTGCTGCTCAAAAGCCTAAAAGCTTAACCAGGCCAAAAGCTTCTAGTTTCTGGTTTTCACTCCTTATATACCTTTCTGCTGTCCGCCAT